TTTTATGAATTATTATGCAGGTTGTAAGAGGTGGTAGGAGAGAAAATAGCATGATGATTAGGCAAACGGAAACTAATCAATGGAATGTGTCATGGAATTTGACGGTTGATAGAATACATTAACTATATGTATTGAGTGATTGTATATAGAACCAATGTGTTTGTATTCGTTATGTGTAGAGGAGGAGATGGGGGATGTACTCCGCTTTTAGGGGAAGATAGGGGATGGACCTCTAAACCGGATTTTGTTTGGGAGGTGATAGGGGATGGACTCCATTAGCATCACTTTTATGTGTGCTTATTTATATTGAAGTGTTTTTTATTGATACAGCACTAATATGTGTATCAAACTGGAAGTATGAAGTGTTTTGATTTGAGCTTGAGTCTCATTTGTTCGTTGACATTGGAAGAATGTGAATTTGATATATATATAGTTCACTGTTGTAAGTTTGGCCAGGTTCTGAGTCATATTGATAATGTTGGAAAGTAAAACGTGTCTTAGACATTAATGTCATGAAACTGTATAATGATGTAATTGATTATCTTGGTTAACCATCTATTGAATACTATTGCTTTAATCAATACTTATATTTGGTTTAGTATATTTCTACTGGGCTGTGGCTCACCCTATATGGGAACATCATTTTCAGGTTCAGGTGATAGGCTACCTCCAAGGACTTAGCTTGGAAGGGACTTGAATTTTGAAGACTATTTTCAGTTGTTTGTTTTTATTTGTTAGTACATGTAAACACTCAAGCCTAGGGCTTTATTTGGATTGAGTTAGAACTCATACTTTTGTTGTCCAAGTGTTGGCTTGGAAAGATGTAAGCCTGTAGGGCATTTAATTTGAGGTTACATGTAATGCTTTTATTTAGTAAGACTCTGATGAATATTATAATGAAATGTTTCCTCTCTAACATTGCATGCTGATGATATATATAATTAATGGGTTTATTTTTTTAGGGCGTTACAGGTTAGACAGTTTTTAAACCCTTAATTTGTTGTCATTTTTTTTTTCATCTTATTTTTTGTTCATCTTTTTCATCTTATAGAATGACCCAATAAGTTTTCTTTATATAAGCACACAACTAGAACCCATTTCCTGAACACGTGTTCAGGAAATAAACCAATCATGTTTTTTTGTTTTGTTTTTTTTTTTTTTGGTGTGAGTTTACTGGACTCAAATCAATTATGATCATTACACGCGTTTGATAGAATGACCCAACAAGTCATGTATTGCAAATGTTTGATAGAATGACCCAATAAGTCATATTAAATTTATATACATCTCAAAAGCTTTTTAACGATATGCATCCAAAGTTTTAATCATAGTAGTTCATAATCTTAAAAAAATATCATAAATCCTCATACCTAAGGCCACTTAAATTTCTAATTAAACATCACAAAATTTCATAACCAAAACCACCATGGGTTATAACCATAAACACTACAAAAAGTCTAATAACCAAGTTCATCATAAACACCATGTGTATCAAAGAATTTTTCAACGTTTATTTTAATTAACTCTTAAAAATTATTTGTGATATAGTAAGTTTTCAGCTTGGAAAACAGAGTCTTTTGACAGGGCATTCAACATTGAACTTATAGTTCTGAATGTAAGTTTAATATTTCTTTTGTTTCTTTTCTATTTTTGTTGGTAATCAAGTTATCGATAAATCAAGGTGAACTTGCTTTGCATCTCATGAAGAATTATTCATTGCTCATATAGTAAATGTTTTTTTTTATTTTGATCTTGTTTTGCTCTCATGTTTATTTTTCCTTTTGATCTTATTTTGCTCTCATGTTTTATATGTTCACTATTGTATTTTTATCTTCATTTCATTTTTATTTTAGCCACTTTATTTTTTATTTAAAAAAATTTCCCTTTCCATTTGCATAAAAGAGAATATGAGCAATGAAGCAAAATAGAACTGGTATGTAGTGGAAAAATTGGGAGTGGAAGGAACTTTGGAGTAGTGGCCAATAATGTAGCTCCTGATAAAAAATGGTACTGCTAGAACTTTTTATTTTTATTTTTTATGGTTTGCTTCAACCATCAGGTCACTTTCTTCCATAAGTCGGGTCACTTTCTTCCATAAGTTTGGTCACTTTTTTCCATAAGTTTCGCATTCTTTTATTGGTTTTCTTTATCTTTTTTGTCCAAAGTGTATTGTGGAAGTCTCAGTAGCTTTACTGTGAGTGGTTTTGGTGGATGTTAGAGTAGTGGGTATTTAAATAGAATGAATGTCTCAGCATCATTTAGTGAAGTGGGTATTCGATGATCACATATTTTTTTTTTCTCCTAAAATACCTTTTTCTCTATTTATTTGTTCTCCTAAAATACCTTTTTCAAACCTTAGAATCATATCCTTCTATTTATTTTTGTTGTGAGTTGGGTGTTGCCTTTCTTGAATTGATCATGACGTGTTTGAAGCTCTTATTTCAACAATGTGGTTATGGCAGTGGAGTTTTGGTTTCAAATGTTGAGTTTTGATTTCTTTTGTGAAACTCCCACATCTTATTAGTATTTTTGGAGGAGTTTGATTATTTAAAGCTCCATTTTTTAATTTTGAAGGGACATTTGTCTATATCATTTTCGATGGTGATGATTTTAGCAGATAGCTTTGACAAGACATTTGATTTAGTTTACAATTCAATTTAATAACGAAACTGTACTGTTCAAAGTTGCAAGCTCATTCCATTTGAAATCCATTTCAGTGGCTCTGCAGCATCATCTCTTCCCGTTTCTCTCTCGCTCTCTCTTCAATGGACCACCATCAAGGTAATGCCACTTCTCTCTCGCTTTCTGTTTAAACCTCACCTATTTCAGCATCTTTTGTTTCAATAATCTTTAATCTAATTTGTGAATATCTTTTGTTTCAATAATCTTTAATTCCAGCAGGTTTGTTACTCAATAATATTGACAACAGGTTGACCAATTTAATTGCTTTATTGATGTTTACAGTTTGTGATTGAAACATTGTGTCTGAAGCATTGTGGACTTCCTTAAGACCTTTCATATCGAAACATTGTGGTAAGAATTTGATTTGTGTTCTTACTTAAACATTGTCTCTATATATATTTTTTGTTTGCTTTTCTATCTATTTGTCCACTTTATGTGTAGAAGTATATATTGGTTGACTTTACTACTACATATATTTCTACTCATTTGCACCCTTTGCTAGGTTGGGGTAATGTGGCATATCTAAAAATTTTAGGATTTATTAATTTGTAAGAAAAATGGTAAGATTCATTAATATTTTCTTTTCATGTTGTTTGGAGTTAGATTGTGTTACCAATATCTGAAAATGTCCTCATATTAGACTGATTCATTATTTTTATTTAATGTTTGGAGTCAAATTATTATTTTAAAACTGTGTAGATGTGCAAATCTTTTGTTATATGTTAATTTCAATAAATAGATTCTTGGAAGCAAAGTACTAAGGGTGTGTTTGGTTTGTGTTTGTAGGGTAGCTTTTGAGATAAAAAGTACGAAAACTTGTTTGGTTTGCCTTTTTTCAAAAATGGTTTTGGAAAATTGTTTTGGGGGGAGAGTTTTAAAAAAAGTGATTGATTTGATGTGTATGAGAGAGAGAGAGAGAATGATTTTGGAAAGTAGGTAACCAAACAAAATTTTGAGGTTTTTTTTGGAAAAATTTGTTTGGTTTGATTACTCTTGAAAATTTGTTTGTAGAGAATTTTTCCCAAATTTTTTTTGAAAAACAAACCAAACAAGCCCTAAGTGATTGATGTGTTTTATTGGTAGTTTCCGTTGGAAACACAATTCATTTTGATAAATTGTTTAATTTTAGTAAAATTTGGTGGCGGAAAATGATTGGTAGGTTATTAGTTTGGTGTCTGCATATCTATGTGATTTTTTATTAATTCGTTGAATGAGATATTTTATTCATGGAAAATGATTGATAGGTTATTAGTTTGTAGTTCCATTTAAACCACTTTTAGTTCAATAAAATTTAAGAAAGCTTAAGCCATCGATATGTTTGATTCCTAACAATAATGTAGGAGCCATCGGTATGTTGATAGTAATAAACAGAATTGACATTTTTTTTTTTGTGGTGTTTCTTTTGATAAATATGTATGAATGCGCACTAAATCTGAGCATGTTAATGAACAGATTTAATATAGTGATCCTTGTTTTCCCTCTCATGTTTATTGTATTCTGGACTCGGTTTCGTTGATAGTAGTTTTTGTCTATATTTCATTTCCGTCCTTTAACTCTTTGTAATTGAGTTTAGAATTGTTTTGGGCGTGTTTCGAACAGGTTGGTTAAGCTTTTGTCCCAACTCTTGTTGCCCAGATTTTTGGTTATCCGCTCGAGCGGCTCTTCTTGCGCTCGAGCAGAGTTTACATACCTTCAGTAGTTTCTTCGTCTGCAAAAGTACTACAGATGTGTTTTTCACGCTCGAGCGGATTTCCTTACACTGGAGCGGGTCGCGCTCAAGCGGACCTTTTTGCGCTCGAGCGGGTGTTCAATGTCTGTAAAAATGCTGGAAGAGGGTAATCTACGCTCGAGCAGGTTTCCCTTTGCGCTCGTGCGGGTGTGTTTTGTAGTTGTGTCTTGGCACTCGAGCGGGTATTATTGCGCTCGAGCCTGTCCTGTTTTTGTGCTTAACGCTTGAGCGTCCTATTCTCCGCTCGAGCGGACTAGTTGTATATCAGATGACAGCTGGGTGATTTTAAATCACTTTTCACACTTTCTTTCTCTCTTTTACTTTTCAAAACCTCCATTGGAGAGCACCTCACTCTAAAATTTCAACTTCTCTCTAGGGTTTGATCTAGTTTAAGTGATCTTCTACCCTTGTCCCTTTGTAAAAAGTGTGGAGCTTGTTGAAGGCTACATTTTGATCCGAAAATATTGGGGTTTGGAGCACTTTCAAATTTCTTCTTCTTCTCATTTGAGCTCCGAATTTGAGGTAGGGATAACTACTCATTTCTATGGTCTTTGACATAAACTATTGGTCATTTTGATGTAATGTTGAAGTTGGGTAATTTTGGGTGCTAGGGTTTCAAAATTAATAAAGAGGGGTTTGGTTATTTTGACTCATAAATGTGTATCTTGGGTCTTAAAATGATGGAATTGATGATATATGGGACCTTTGGGTCATTGTAGAGAAAAAGGGAGAAAGCCCTAAATTGTTGTATGAATTAATTTATATAATTAATTTGGGATGTTATGGAAATAGGGACTTGAGTTGAAAATAATGAAATTGGCTCATTATAAGAGGGAATGGTGGAGTTGGATTTATTAATTCTCACTTATGAAATTATTGTCAAATTATCTGTTGATGCATTTATTATCTGTTTAGAAATAAATTGCTTTGGGCCATCGGTGGAGGATAGTCTTGATTGCTATAGACAATGCATGATGATTAGGCAAATTAAAACTAATCAATTGAATATGTCATTGAATATGACGGTTGGAAAAATACATCAAATTTATGTATTGATTGATTATGTATATGATTTGTGCTTATATACATTGTGTTGTATGGGAGGAGATAGGGGATGTACTTCACGGTTTAGGAGGAGATAGGGGATGGACTCCTAAACTGGATATTATTTGGGAGGAGATAGGGGATGGACTCCATTGATACAGCAAATATGTGTATCTATTAAAGTATTGATACAACGAACATGTGTATCTATTGTGAAGTATGGAAGTGTTTTATGTGTTATTGATACGACAAACATGTGTATTTATTGTGAAGTATGGAAGTATTGTTGATATGAGTTATAGTCTCATTAAATTATTGGCCAGGTTCTGAGCCTTATTCATAAATTGAGAACTGGTTAAGTAATGGAAAATGGAATGAAACATGAACATATTTGTCATGTAATTAAAATGGATTATGAATTGATTTATGTGGGTTAAACATTTATCAAATGCCAATGTTTTAGTTTTTGCTCATATTATGTTTAACATATCTCTACTAGGCGTTGGCTCACCCTATACGGGACATCATTTTCAGGTACAGGTGTTATGCCAACTCCAAGGACGTAGCTTGAGAGGCTTGAGGCTGTTAGACTCTTTTTGTTGTTTTTGTTGTATTACATGTATATCAAGCTAAGGGCTTATTTTGTGTAGAGTTAGTATTCCCCTTTTTGTAACCAAGTGTTGACTTAGAAAGTTGTAAGCCTATAGGGCATTTACTTTTGTTGTCAACATGTAATACCTTTTTTAAGAATACTCTGATGATTGTAAAATGAAATCTCGTGCTCCAAAATTGCACGAGCCTGGCAAAATTTGTCTACAAATGCATTAACTTGCAACAAACTATCTTGAATAGTTTTGAGAACATCCCTTCGTAAGTGAGGATTTCTACGATTTCAAACTTCTAAAGCTGAATTAGGATCATAAATGTACAACTGAGCATAAGTCGTATCCTGACCTGGCTGTGGTAGAAGTGATCCTGTTTGATGTCGCAATTCCCCATGGATAATAAATGGTTTAGGGCCGCTTCCCCTTAGTACTCTTGGATCCAATGTAGCACCAAGACTTGTAAAAGCATTGGCTGCATTGTATACTCGAGTATAACGTCGAAACGATCTTGCTTGATCATCATCCCCATCATATAATGCTTGAAGCGGTGGAGGGGGTGTCATAAGCAAAGGTAGCCTAGTCTTTCCTTTTGAACAGCAAGTTCCAAATAAGGGACGTTTTTGAGATGATTATGCTAATTTTTCGTCCATCCAATGTAAGGCTGAACAGTAAGGACATAACACATCCATCTTGCCGAGAGAATGACGACATGAATTCATGTGTGATTAAGTATTAATCGCAGTACTTATAGTCATATCTTCTAATTCATCATCTGTACATAGATCCTCTTGAAAAAATGTGACTGTAGAATTAGGCCTACAAATATTTGTTGTGCATAAATTAAAATTTATACACATGTAAAAGTAAGAGTATTATTTAAAAAATTAAACATGTTTTACCAATTCCGAGCTAAAGATGTGCTTTCCATAGAGAACGAACATGTGGATGCATGTGTAACCATTGTTCGTTTTTGTGCCAACGAAGTATCTGCAAGTGTCTTTGTACCCTGTTCTAGGCAAGCGTGACTGCGCCGACTCGATGTTAATGAAGGAAAGTCTTTAAAATATGCTCCTAATCTCTCTTGTTCCTATCGCAAGCGTTGTCCCGATTGATATGCAGAGCATGCATTTTCATTTCTTTCACATTCTCGTCGTGCACGTTGAGCTAATACAACTCTTGATATAACATAACCATTGGGTCCCTAAAATATGAATATTAAATCATTTGATGCCTAAAATGAAAATATTATCAAGTACCATTTTCCACTGTCCAAAGAAAATACCATTTTCTATTTTTATATCCCCTCTTCCAAAAAAAATGCATTATACTCTTGCCCATGACTACCCATAGTTTAATAATAATAATAATAATAATAATAATAATAATAAATTTCATGGTTTTGTTACACTAATGAACAAATGTTCGACCAACTTATGAGAATAATAAACGTTCGACCAGCAGATTGTGTGGTTTTGTAACCGTAATGAACAAATGTTCGATCAGCAGATGAGCTTCATAAAGTATCCCCATTTTCTTGTAGGGCCCATGCACTTACAAGAGACACTATATATTCCTTTCACTATATGTTCCTTCATAAAGTATCCCCTATATATTTCTTTCTTCCTAAGAATATACATGAGACACTAAAAAATGTGCATAGTTTCAAAAATAAAATACAATTATGGCTAAATAAAATACAATAAAATACAATTATGGCTAAATAAAATACAATATATGAAGATACAAAAATAAAAAATAAAAAACTCTACAAAAATCAATAACAACCATACCGCTAAACATGCATTTTCCTTTCGCTTGCCCTTACAATTAGTCACTTTTGTCATTTATAATCTATATAATAAATTATGTGGTTTTGTTATACAAACAAACAAATGTTCGGCCAACTTATGAACTTCATAAAGTATCCCATTCACATAGCTAGAAAAAAAAAATTTGTTGCCCATTTTCTCCCTCCTCTCTTTATC